AAATCACATTGACATACCACCTAACCCCAGTAAGAATGGCCATCATTAAAGAAACAAACGATAACAGATGCTGGCCAGGATGCAGAGAAAAAGGAATGCTTCTATACTGTTGGTGGGAATGCAAACTAGTGTAACTTCTTTGGAAGACAGTGTGGCAATTTCTGAAAGAACTAGAAATTGACCTTCCTGTGACCCAGCAGTTCCTCTATTGGGAATATACCTGGAGGAACTCAAATCATTCTACAAAAAAGATAACTGCACATGTATGTTTGTTGCAGCTCTATTCACAATAGCAAAAACATGGAACCAACCGTGTTGCCCATTGAAGCTGGACTGGATTTTAAAAATGTGGTACATATACACAATGGAATACTATGCAGCCATAAAGAAGGATAAACATATGGACTTCACAGCAACTTGGATTTAGAGTGATCTATCACAGAAACAAAGACAGAGTACCATATGTTCTAATTCATAAGCGGACCTTGAACAATTATAATACTATAAGAAAGGAATTGGCAGTAGTGGGAAACTGTCAGGGAAAGAGGAGTGGGATTGGCAGTTGAGGGAAACTGCTAGGAGAAGAAGGGAGGAAGGGCATACCTCATCAACAAGGGTATCTGCATAATCAACGTTTGTATACCTAATCCTGAATTGTACCCCACATCTTTATAATAAAAAAAAGAATGTATACAGATCAACATGAAAAACATAATCTGGTAAAAACTGGCCGGGCTCGGTGGCTCAGCCTGTAATCCCGTGCCTTTGGGAGGCTGAGGTGAGTGGATTGCCTGAGCCCGCGGTTTCGAGACCCGCCTGGGCAACTTGGTGAGACCTCATCTCTACAATAAATCAAAAAATCAGCTGGGCATGGCAGCGCATGCCTGTGATTCCGGCTACTTGGAAGGCTGAGGCGGAAGGATCGCCAGAGTCCAGCAGGTGGAGGTTGTGGTGGCCGGGAGTGGCCACTGCACTCCAGTCTGGGTGACAAGAGTGAGACTCCAACTCAAAAAAACAAACAAAACAAACAAACAAACAAACAAACAAAAAAACTGGGCAAGACTTGAATAGGCACTTCACAAAAGATATCCAAGTAGCCAATAAAAATATGAAAATATACTAAAAATTATTGATAATCAGAAATGTAAACTAAAACTCGGGCTGGGCATGGTGGCTCAAGCCTGTAATGTCAGCACTTTGGGAGATGGAGGCAAGTGGATTGCCTATGCTCAGGAGTTTGAGACCAGCCTGGGCAACTTCGTAAGACTTCATCTCTACAATAAATCACAAAATAAGCTGGGTGTGGTAGTGTGTGCCTATAGTTCCAGCGACTAGGAAGGTTGAGGTGGAAGGATTGCCTGAACCCAGCAGCTTGAGGTTGCAGTGGCTGTGAGCATGCCACTACACTCCAACCTGGATGACAGAGTGAGACTCCAACTCAAAAATAAAAAAAATTAAAATCCAAACAAGACACCAATATATACCCACAAGAATGGCAAAAATTAAGACGAAACAGACATTACTGTTTTAATGAAGATGTGGAGCAACTGGAACTCATACCACTGGTGGGAGCTTAAATTGGCTTGATCACTTTGGAAAATTGGTAGTATCTATTAAAGCTGAACATACACATACCTATGACTCATTAATTCATAGTGGAATTAGTACATATCTCTTGGTGTACACAGATGGGCATGAAAGATGTGAAAGGATGTTGATATCTATATTATAAATATCCCTCAAACTAAAAATAATCCAAAAGTTCTATTAACAGTAAGAATTAATATATACATTTTGCTATATTCACACAATGGAATATTATACAGCAATAAAAATATATAAATTACTACTCTACACATTGCCATGGATGAATTTTACAAACAAAATACTGAGCAAAAGAAAATAATACAAAAGAGTACATACTGCATGATTCCATGTAGTCTAAAAATGGGTAAGTCAGTACCTGAGAAGGAGCAAATCGAGACTTCTGGGTACTGGTAATGTTCAATCTCTTGATCACAGTTGTGATCACATGGGTGTGTTCACTTTAAAAAATTCATCAAGCTGTACTTTTTTTTCCTTTTGTGCTCCTTGGTGTAATATTTACATAAATACACTTATTAACAGATTTAAACTAGATGGGAATTATAATAGCTTAGGCCGAGCTGTCTGTCCACAGATTTATGTAGCAGTGTAGAACGTATAGCTTCTCTCTCCAGAACCAGTATCATTCAGGAAGTCATTGGTTTAAAGCTTTGGGCCATGGTTGCAAATCAAGAATGGCTGACCTGGAACTGGTAGTATTCTATGATTACCTTCCATGCTTAACTTAATCTTATTTTCTACCTGCAAAGGTTTGGAATGGGGTTGGCCTTTGATATGGTCTCTGCAGGGCTTCTCTCCGACCTGTGACATCTCGACCTATGGGTACAGTTATCCTTGGAGCAATTTGAAGGCTTAAGTGAGCCTTGGAGCTCACTTAAGTCCAGGTCTTAGCTTGAGGAAGTGCTAGAAATTTGTGATTTCTCTCTTTCTTTGGTTACTGTTTTTTTGTTTTATTTTGACACTGTTAGGAAGAGTCTGTACTGTTAAGTAGGAAAATGGAATTCTCTTTTAGTTTCAAAGGCTGCCTAGAACTTGTCAGATTGCATGAACTTTTTTAAAACATAAGAATTGCATATATCCCAGCAATAATATGTAGATCCATAAACTCTGTATTATTTATTTATTTATTTTTGAGCTGGAGTCTCACTTTGTTGCCCAGGCTGGTCATAGCTACTGCAGCCTCAATTTGCTGGGCTCTGGCGAGCCTTCCACCTCAGCTTTCCAGGTACCTGGAACTACAGGTACACCACCATGCCTGGCTAATTTTTTTATTTATTGTAGAGATGATGTCTTGCCAAGTTGCCCAGGCTGGTCTCGAACCCCCCGGTTCAAGCAATCCTCTCATGTTTGCCTCCCAAAGTGTTGATATTACTGGTGTGAACCATCGTGCCCAGCCCATCTGCAAAATTTTAATCTGTTCAACAAGTCTGTAAATTTTTTACAGGGCAAAAATACCAGTTATATTTCAATTAGATAAATTTTCCCTCAGGGATTTTTGTATAATTTTGTTGTAGTAATAGATGGTACTTACATTTTGAATTGCTTTTGGTGCCTAAAGCACCATGATTCATATACTTGGTATCTCAATATGTAGTTCTCTTTTCCTGAGTTCAGGAGAAAACATGTATTAGGGAGAAATATACTTCTGGCTATACTATATGAAGAGGAAATGAGTAAACTTAGTGGAAAACGTTCCCAAACACAGAGACATTTAGAATTTGAAAATCTGGACCCTTCAATGAGTACTTATAGAGGCCTGTTGAATGCTGAGCACATATTTTCTTTTGAAGTAGGACGATTTGGTTCGATAGAGTAAGTTACATATTTGATGTTAGTAGAGATTTTGGCATTTAACCATTATTTCTAGAAAATTTGAGATCCTTAAAACATCTTCTGATTAGTTAGCATATGTGAAAGAGAAAGAAAAATAAATATTACTGTTTCTCGAAGTCTTTTAGCTCTATTAAAGAATGAGAAAATTGGCTATATCTGAAAAGTAGCTACCTCTTTTCACCTACACTTTCTGTGTCCTTTCTCTAGTTCCATCGGATTAGATGAGTTACATTTAGTTAAAATTCAGTGTTTTTCTTTTGTGGACTTCTTTGCATCCAATTTCTTAATGACCTTGAGGTGTTCCTGAAACCAGGGAAGGGGGAGGGGTGAATAGAGTACTGCTACTCCACTGCAGACTGAGTCGGAACCAGATTTCATTCCTTTTAATAACCTAAATGATATACAGTATAGTATATACACTACACAGTACAGTTGTAGAAACTGAATGGATTTTTTTTTCCCCCTGGAAGACAGGATTGAGGAATGGTTTTGGGAACATGAACTTTGGTGTCATATGAAATCTAGATTTGAATCCTGCCGTTTAATTAGTTTTGTGACCTTGGAGGATGTTGTTTAACTTTTTTGACTTCTGTTCTCTCATCTTTAAAATGTTAGTAATGCTACTTACTTGACTCTGTTTTATGTATATATAGTATGAAGTACAGTGGTTTCATATGCTAAGCCCCAATCAAAGGTTTTTTATTGGTCTTCAGACTAGCTGGGAAGCTTTTTCAAGAGTTTGCAGCTGAGAAATGGGGGAGAGAACAGATGTGTGGTTTTGTTTTTTCAGGCAGTGTTGGATAATGGCAGCTTGCTTCCACATTCACATACTATGTGAGTTAAGCGCTCTGGACTCCTAGCAAAAGTAAGGTCAGAAACACCTTGGGGAACTAAATCTAGCCATGGGTTCTCTCCATGAACATGTACCTTACATTGTTCTTGGAGCCTTTGCTTTCAGATCTGTCCTGTTTTGCTAGGTACAGAGTATTTTTAACTAGAAGAATTCCTCAGAGATGATTAACACCTAGTGAGCATCCATCGTGTTTCCAGCCCTTGCCCCTTCCCATAGCATTTATTGATTCTTCTGTGCTGGGTCATGAGAATGCCAAGATGGATGAGAAACATTAATAAAGTGGGGGACTGGGCACAGTGCAAAAATAAGACTAGAACAGTAAAGGAATGTTGTGCAAACATAAAAGAGGAAATGGAGGAACCAGGACATGTGATTCCTGTATCACTATGGGACTCGCAAAGAATCCAGAAGACAACATGCTAACATTTTCTGCATTTCAGTTAGCAATATGTTGTGAAATGTCAGTGTTTTGAGGATATGATAGAGATAGAATTGAATGATTTCTTAAGGTGCCTCATAGTCTTATAGTTGAGCACAGTATGATGGACTAGTTCTTCAGATTTGGAAATTTACTTACACAAAATCCTAAAAGAAATTTACTCAGTTGAAAATACTAGCATGGTTAATTTATTTTTTTTGAACAGATAATGTTGAAAGATAAAAATGTATGCCAGTCTGAAAATTATATTTTACCCTCTTTCGCTTTTAGAAAGACAGCTCTTCTTTTGAGTCAAGCAAAGGGAAGAGGCGAGTGAAGAAAAAGGTGTCTTCTGAGGGGGTGTTTGTGAGAAGGTACTAATCAATGAAATAATGAAATAAACTTGATTTTTCTTTTAAAAACCGATATAAATGTAAGTCTATATAAACTCTTCTTAGATTTACTCTGATGCTAATATTCTAATTGTAAAGGCAGAAATACGATATAAAAAATGATTTTTTAAATGTCATGAACTCCATTATACACCTTTCCCAATATACTTCTTATATATCTACATAGGCAAGTCAAGAGATTTGTGAGTAATTAATTTTGCAAGTATTAACATAAACTTAAAAATATTAGATGGTAAAGTCTAGTAATCAAAAGAAACATAGTTCTAGATATTAAAATTATTAAAAATTCTATTATGGCCCCATAATAGAATTATAATATTTCTTTCACTTTTTAGAGAGTACCATTCACTACTCCTAGTGGGGTAAGTTTTTTAAAAAATGTTTTTCAAATGTCACAACTTTTAAAAAGCTCTAGACTTGGGAGAAAATGCAATACAAATTTTAGAAAATCAGTAAGTTTTAAAAAAGAACAACTTTACAATAGCCACCAAATATTTTACTCAAAGTTTTATATAAAAAGAAAGCTCTTGTAAAAGGCAAAAACATAATGTGTGTTTGCTAAGAATAACCATTTAAATAATGATTCAGAATTCAACCTGTTTTCTCTTGTAAGCTTTTTAAGAATAAAAAAGAGGCACATTGAACAGGCTAAGAATCACATGGCTTTATTACTCTTTCTTCCTTTTTCCCCCCTTGAGCTTAAAGATTAGTGGAACTTTGCTGACAGGAAAACAACTGTGGCTTTTCAGTTTCGTTTTGACTTCAATTCCCTCATTTTTTTTCAGCCTCCCCTCCACCACCCTTTTTTTCCCTTCCCTCCATGAGCTAGCAAAGATTTGTGACTGTCTTGGGGGCACTTGTCTAGCTCCTGTCACCCCTTGAAGATCTGATCGCTAGCTTTGAGCTTCACCAGCAGCAGCCTTCTCACTATATACCAGATGGTCCACGCTATGGACCCTAAATGGTTTCTAAAGGCCATTATGACCTAGTATCATCAGAATTAGTTTGCCCTGACAAGAGTGCATTCGATTCTGAAACTAGTTCAGCTGGTCAAGGGTCTGTAAGCAAGTCTTAAAAAATGGTTTAGCTATCCTTTTGATAACACTTATGTTCCCTATCATTAGTTTTTCTGTGGTTTCCATAGGCTTTCAATCTATAGTCATAATAGTCAACATTTATTTGGCACTTTTAGTGTGAGATCTGTGCCAGGTTCTTTACTGTCTCTTAATTCTCACAACAGATATGAGGTAGGTATAAAATATATAATGGAGATTAAGTAGTTGTGCCTAGGATTACACAAAAATGCAGAGCTGGGATTCTAAGCTTGGCAGCAGAAGTTTAGTTTGCATCCTCTTAACCTCTACTGGAATTCCAAAACCATTTCCCTCACTTTCTGGGACCACACTTTTCTAGCCCTACTTTTCCCTCTAACTGATGATGCTGAAGTTAATCCTAACTCTGGAAATAGTTTAATACTTGCTCCAGTTTCCTCTAATCTGTTTCTGTACCAGTGAGCCAGGAAATGTAAGAATACCATTGTAATAAAAGCATGCACTCTGTGGCAGAGGCTCCCTGATGATTTTTCTTCAAAATCTGTTCTTCCCTCTTCCATAGTAATAGGATTTATCTGGGCTTGTGGCTGCTCAGAATAAGGACTAACTTTCCGGCTTCCCTTGCAGCTAAGATAACAAATTGTGTCCAATAGGATGGGAGCAAAAATGGTATGTAAAACCTTGGGACTATGGCCTTAAAAGCCATCTCTTGCCAGTTTCATCTTTTGGAATGTGGATGTGGTGGTAAGTCAGCCACTGGATCTTGTGAATGAGTGTAACACCAGGATGGTAAAGTAGTAAGATAAGAAGGAGCAAGGGTTTTCAAACTGTGGAACTGACATAAAAACCCTAGAAAGTTCACATTGGACTGTAAGAGAGAAATAAACCAAATCTTATTTAGGCCACTATTATTGAGTCTTGTTGTAGCAGCCAAATTAAAATTGTAACGCAATTCCCAAATTATGTGTACTTACTTATAAATCACATACATGTATTGTTACATTAATGAAACACAAAGACAGAAGTAAAAAAGATGTTTAAAAGAGGAATAAGTTATTTTGTTTCTGTGACTCTGGATTGTCCACCTCTTGAGAAAGAGTACTCAAGTTGGAGACTACTATTATATTAAGTGAGAATGTGAGATCTGAATTTAAAGACTGTGTGACTTATTTGATAGTAAATACAGCCTTCTCTGCCTTTTTTTTTTTTTTTACATTAAAAGATACTTTAGATTGACAGTGGTGGGAAACTATGGGGGGGACAGGGAGGGGAAGGAAGGTGGGATTAAAGGTAGTCAATATATTAGCCGGGCTCGGTGGCTCAGCCTGTAATCCCGCGCCTTTGGGAGGCTGAGGTGAGTGGATTGCCTGAGCCCGCGGGTTCGAGACCCGGTTGCCTGGGCAGCGAGACTTCATCTCTACAATAAATCAAAAAATCAGCCGGACGTGGTAGCATGCGCCTGTAATTCCGGCTACTTGGAAAGCTGAGGCGGAAGGATCGCTGGAGCCCAGCAGGTCGAGGC